TTTTAAACTTTAAGATTTCTGACCGGCTGGTCCTGGCTCTTGTCTGTGGGGTGATTAACCATCCGCTATTCTGATCTGTCTCTAAATGACATATTTAAATAACTCAGCTGTGAGTCTTTCAAAGCTGAAGAACATGGCAACCCTAAAACCGTAAATGGAACATGTAGAAAATAGCAGAGAATGTTTTGCAGAGGAGAGTTGCCTTTACCAATATAAGGGTACAGTATACAGTATATGCTCTCCCTGTCTAACACTGAAATCTTGATACTTGCCATTAATTTATCAAGATTGGCCTACTGATTAACCTTACTTGTTTTTTTGTTTTTTAGATTTTAATAGGTTTCAAATGTTCTAGAGCCATGTGGATCAAGTGCTATAAACAAGTATTGTGTATTATCCCGTAACTCCCACCCTCTGAAAGCTGCACTCTTCAAATTAGAGTGTATTTTAAATAAGGCACTGAATCAAGCGTTTAGCATTTTAGGGGTTTAATGCAAGGGGTGTAATCCTGCTATTAAACTGAGATTTGTTATTTCACATTGTTTTACCCTGGCAAAGACCAGACACCACAGAAAGGGTGACGGACCGTTCCACTGTGCGGCACCAGTTGTACCAAACTCGCTGCCCAAATTCATTATCTCTCCGCGAGGGCCAGGCGTTTTCCAAACTTGCTTGAAGACGTATCCTTTTACTACAACTTTTGATGTGTAGCTTAGTAGACTCTTGGCTTCTCAAATTCAATTTGCTGTACTTTCTTTTTACTCCGGCCGGGTACTGGGTGTGCTATTGCACAGCTCTTGGAGTCTCTCTTGAACAGACCTTACAAAATCGCATTATCGTTGTTAAAGGGAATATATTGCATTGCATAAAACAGAATTTCTGGGACTTTTTAATACCCATCTCGAATGAATGTTTCAATAAAACAATCCATGATGCTACACTAGTGAACTGCCGTATACTGAGACATTAATTAACGATTTCTCTTTGCTAGAGCACCTGAGAAAATCAAGGACACACCAACTGTATGCGCTGCTGTCAGGACTCGAAGAGCCGTTATGCTCGATTATTCACCTGTACAGAAAAAAACAACTGAACAACTATAAATACTCTCTAGTGTTCTATAATAACACACTCTGAAATGTAGGCTTGTTAAATGTAAGATTCTCGAAGCACCAAAAGCAGAGCAAAAGGAAACATGTACACAATTTGCTTTAATCCCGCTTCTGGTACCTTTTCTGTCCAACAGCAAAACTGGTTGCAGGTGGTGGAAACGGTCCGGAGAACTTCAGTCCTTAACCCAAATTTCGTCTTTTTGAAAACGTGCATCTTCCCTCAACCAGCAACATTTCGCTCCTGGAGACTAGGCAGGGTTTATACAGGCTAATAACGTCCAAAACGGATAGCGGGCGACATTCCCAAGAGCAGAGGAAGGTTGGTGATGCACAGCGTAACTAGTCATGGTGGGTCACCGATTCCGATAGATCATGGTCAAAGAAAGTCCTGCGAAAAGGAAGAATATTGATGTGCTTTAATTAGAGTGATGGTGCATAGTGTTGTTGCAAGCTTCAAAATAGAGAGCTCACGGGTAATTCCCATAGACAAACGCGATCACAATCACAGATGGAAGACGGTGTCATTTAACGTGTGCATGTAGTGTAACGCCTATACACCGGTATTCGGATCTGGATATAAACGTTTTAAATTCCGCTGGCAGAGCTGGTTCAGTTTTGTGTTAAGTGCGACTGTCTCGGGGTTTTTCAAGCTTGACGTACTTGCTTAAGACTTCAAAGGACTATTTTTTGACGTGCAAAATTCTTGCCAGGACCCAGAGGGTTAAATGCCAACTTCAAGGGTCATCATTCATAGCCAAACTAGAGGAATGTTTCCTTTTAATCTCCGGCAGGTTCATGCTTCCACGATCCCAGATCTCTTCAGCTATGCGGGAGTTAAGCCCCAAGTATGTCGTCGTCATCAATACCTTGCCTTTTATAGTTTTTAAACCAAAATATCCCGCCCCAGGAACGCGCAAAGTTACTGAAACTTTGTTTAGTACTTAAAAAAAAAAATTGACATTGAAAACCGTTTCTTTGTCATTATGCTACAGTACCTATGATTCTGCACAATCCCGTGAATGTCATCTTTTTGTGGGGGGAAATGCCTTCATTTATTAAGCACAACCGAGAACTGTCTTGGTCAGCAATGTTGACGGTGTAAAAGCTTTTAAACAGCTTGGTTAAATGCTAAGTAACGATCTCGACAAGCGAGCAGTTTTTATCTGCAGCGCCACAGGAGTGGGAACTAAAGTTGAGGTATTCCCTGCAAAGCTGAGGATACAGTTATTTGCGATTCATTTAGGTTATGGATGATGCTCCTCTTTAAAGTCGTATTTTACATCGAGTGAGAGCGATTTTGGAGCATTACGATCACTATACAGTACGTTGTATCTATCCTCGCGTTGGTTCCATTGTGCTCATCGTATAAACACGGACCCTAAAGCAAATTAAAACACATTCTAGGTCTTATACCGTCAGACATGCCACGCTGTATCTACTATATAACCAGGAAAAAAGTCAAACTTTGCCTCCGTGGAACAACCAGCCGATTTCATTAACCTAGTTGAAACATCTCTAATACCAAGTCAGAAAAAAAATATATATTTTTTAACTTGACAGTAACTAACAGTGGCGCAAATTAGCCGCAGTAGTCACAAGCGCAGAACCAACGGGGAGCTCTTAGGTTAACAGCACACTAATTACAAGAGAGGTTTGAAGGACCTCATTCACAACAAGGCGTTGTTCCATTTTTAATAGATATAATTAACGGAAGAAAAAATACACCCATTTGCCCTCATACAAGAACCACTGCACTTGTTAAACACACATTCTTTAAAGAAATTATGCCCACGTCTGTGGTTCGTTCAAAACAGTCATTCCCTTTATTTAAGTCCCATTTCTTAACACGCAGAAATGATCTTTTGAGAGCAGTCTAGTCATAAACGCTGTTTTTTTTTCGCTCTGTGCATTACAACACTAAGACTGGGAGCAGGCAGCAACACAACACGTTATTAGTGCAAATATACATTTGTATATTTTTGTATATGTACACAAAAGCACAATACTGATATATGCTCTGTGGTCAATAACGTGTACAAGGTAAATACCCCTCAAACCTGCAATAACTATACTTAGATTTAGGGACAGGCTATAATCTCTTCTGAACTCTGTGACCTTGTACGCATGGGTACCAAAGCAATTGAGCAAATGACAGAATGAAGCTGACTAAAATACGCAACATTTTAAATCGAGCCACTGGTTATGAACGATGGATGTTCGTATCACTCTCTTCCTGGCACTTCAACGGTTAAACAAAAAGATCAGCTTGGGCATAACTGTGAAGCACACCGGTGCGAAAGACAAACCCAGATGGGCACGTTGTCGACGAACTTTCCTCCGGCAGTCGAAGAGTCAAAGGTCTCTTGAAATAATAATAATAATAAAAAAAAAAACTTCGTGTTCCTCGAAATGCATCAAGACGCTCCGAAAAGCCGGGGTATTGAATTAAACGCGAAGTGGCCCGGGCGCATGACGATGTGTCCTTGGGTTAAATACCGCTCCAGCAGCGTGTTGTCTTTCACACAGCGCTGGGAGTTATACGCCGGGCTGAACTTGAAAGGGTTACTGTTATTCCCCAAGTACTTCATTCTGTACAGTCGAGAGGGGGCGGCTAAGCGGCGCCTGGGAGTCAGAGCGAAGCTTCCAAAAACCCTGAGACATCACCAGGCAAGACAGACTGCGAGCAAAGCGCCCCCCTCCTCTACTGGCAAAATGCCTTTTCCTTAAAAAAAAAAAAAAATCCCTCCAGCTTTTCTGTCATAAAAACCACACAGCAAGTGACTAAGCTAATCACGATCACAGACTTGTGAAACAAAATCACTAAAACATGCGTTTAGGAGAAATGTCGCCAAAATGCACGCTTCTCTCGGTGTTCCCGACTGTAATACCATCGAACCTTGCAAATATAAACATTTTAAAAAGACACAATTAAAATTACCGCTGGAATTGGAGCTAATAGCGTACACGCCGTTTCCATTTCAAACAGACCGATCCCATACTTAGTTTTAATTACACTTCTGAAGGTCGCTTCTCTAATAACTTACAGGCTCCTTATCCACTTTCCAAATTAATTTAGCCTGATGACGTCGCACACCAGTTAACCATTTTTGATTGTTTATTCCAATCCTGTACGGCTGTCAGGGAAACTTTTGCATTATAACGCAGAATTGGAGTCGCTGTGTGAAAGCGCCCGGGAAGGTCAGCGACTTTCTTGGCTCAGAAAGCTCTGACTAGTCCAGTATTTAACACCGCGTTGAAATTCACCGAGTCATATTTTACGGGTTACACCGTTGCGTCCCAGAAATGTAGGGGACGCCTGACAGGGACGGGTTAACACGGCGTGCCCCCAAGTTTCTACACAATTTCACGAGGAATAGGAGCATCCAAGGCTCAGATGCTTTCTGAACGTTTCTTGAGGATTTGAAGTGGGGGCAGTTTTAGCTCAACCAGCCTGGTTAAAGGACAGCCTCCCAGTCGTAGGACGGACCCCCCGTTCAGAGTGAGGACTTAACCAAGGTGGAGCAGGGATGCGAGAGACGGAAAGCGAAAAAAAAAAAGAAGTGTTTGCGTGAGATATAAATAGCTAACGTCGGTAAGGATCGTGATTTCGGGCAGCTGAAAGAAATTGGCTTGTTTGTCGTTAATCCTTCCCGAGCTTCATTTAAGAAGTGCATTTAATTACAGCTCTGTCAAAGGTGTTTTTGTGCTTCTCCTGCGCATAGACCGGCGGATCATTCAGACATAATTGCGCCTGTTGTACAAACATATACTGTACCATATACGTGTATATTGCTTTCCACCATTTGTGTTTTTGAAGGAAACCCTTTCTCTTACCAGCTCACTTGAGTACCCCTCAGCACGCAGGTTCAATCAACTAGCGTCACAGAATTAACATTTAAAAGATAGACTTTATTGCTAAAAACGTGTAACCATTATATTTACACTGATATGTTTTCTTTTTTAGAAATATTCAAGTAGACATCTCCCATAATTACTGGTATACTCTATTTTTTCTTTATTTTCTATACTCACAATCGTTAAAATAATAAATAAATTGTACAGATTTGTTTTAACTTTTTTTCTACAATACTATATGTATTCCAAAGCTGAGTTCACTCCATTATATTTTTATCCTCAACTTCTTTTAATTATTAATATTAATATTATACAAAAAAAATCTAGGCAGCATCTTGCAGTGAAGGTTCAGTCAGCATTATTGTTCTGTTGAAAAAAAAAGTAACTTCTTGGAGAAGCTTATTAATTCCGTCTTCAATTTGTCATAAAAAATAAAAAAAAGCTCTTCCGTTTGAAGTGCTTAGGTTCCCCCAACAAATATGGGCTCAAATAAAATATGGTCCTGTTCATTAAAAAAAATAGCTGCATTTTAAAATTTTTTTAAATATGTACAATGTTGGTATATTTTAATTAAAATGCTATATATAAAAATAGATTTCGCTATAGTGCCCTTCAAAATAACACAATAGCCCATCTCTGTTCTGAAAGTTTACAGTGCAATAGAAACCGTATATTTCCAGTCTTCTCCCGCTCCCCAGTTTCAGGGAAACTCAGCATGAACACTTGCATTCCGAGATGACTGGGTACTGTACAGGTATCCACGTACAATACTTCTGTTTTAAAAATCCCTGGCAATACCACCTGAGGAACGTCTTGGTGATTGACTTGACTGGCTTGCAAAACATCCCTTCTGGGAAGGAGCACGACCGCTCGCTGAAACAGTTACCTTCCTTGATATAGCGCGGCCAGAACCTCACACCCAGGTCCTTCCAGGTGTATACCACCGGGCAGTGGGTGTACGTCCACAGCCACTGCAAGAATTTCCTGCGCGCCTTTTTGCCTATTTTCACCCGCCTCCCGTAGGGGGTTTCGGAAAGGTCCAGCTTTTTGATATCGTTGGGCATGGGTCCAGGGACCCTGAGCTGCGCGTCTTGCACGGACAGGTTCATCAGCACGGGAGCGCCGATGGACATGAAGTTGGGGTCAAAGTTACTCCCCAGTTTTTTCCTCAGAGTCCTCTCGGCGAGGTCCTGCTCGCGGGGGTCGTACTCCGGGTCCGGGTGCTCGATGAGGTCGGGGACAGGGAGGGTGTCACTGGGAGAGGGTCGGAGCCGGAGGAAATGCTGCGAGGCTCCTAGGTGGATGGACATCAACACGACGAGAAGCCCCTGTGAAAATCCCATGTTTCTCTTTCGGTATTATTTATTTATACAGTTATTTTTACAGATACTGTGCACTTGGAAACGAGAAGCCCGGGGGTTTCATAAATAGGCGAAGTTAAAGTCCGGGCAAGATGATACTTTTAATAGACTCCGTCGGGTTTGAATGACATGGAGCAGTGGTCTTTTATTTAGGGACCACTGGACGTACAACGCGCTTCCAACTTTATTCCTACTCCGTTCCAAGCCTTCTGACAGAGGAGTTTTGCAGAGCAATTAGACTTCAAACAATACTGAAGGGGGGG